TATTTTATTTTAGATTAAACGTAAACAAATCGCAATGGTTAAAGTCTATAAGAGAAAGGTTGGTGCCCGACCTTATAAAAACTACAGGGAAGAAGACCTTGACAAAGCTGTTGCAGCAGTTCAAAATAAGCAACTTAGTCGAAAAGCCGCTGCTTTGCAATATAAGGTAAATAGAACTACCCTCCTTAACAGAATTCATCGTAGACATGAAGGAAAACCCGGTCACCCTATAGTTTTGACACCCGAAAAAGAGAGACTAATTGCAGACACACTAGGCATCGTAGCCGATTGGGGGCATCCATTGACGAAGGCTGATATTCGAGAGGTCGTGCATAAATTTGTATCAAAGCAGGGTAGAAATGTTGCTCAGTGGAATGGTAATATGCCAGGTCCTGACTCTGTGGACGCCTTCGCAAAGAGAAATAATCTTAGCAACAGACTAGCTACAAACATTAAACCACATCAGTGGGTCGCGGCGAAATCTCAGAATATTTTGAGAATATGAGATCTACATTAGAAGGGACTCGTCCAGATTTGATTTATAATTATGACGAAACCAATATTTCAAACGATCCTGGTGCCAAAAAAGTCCTTGTACTACGAGGTCACAAGCGTGTGGAAAGAATTGAAGAGCATTCTAAGTCTTCAGTCAGCTTGATGTTCTGTGGCACTGCTAAAGGTGAAATCCTTGCTCCTATGGTGGTATATAAGTCCAAAAATCTCTATGAAAATTGGACCAAGGGCAGACCGCTAGGAACACTCTACAGAAACAGCCTCTCTGGATGGTTCGACATGGATCTGTTTGAGGTCTGGTTTTTCAGAATACTTCTACCGTACGTTAAAAATCTCAGAGTAGGAGACAAAAAAGTTTTCGTTTTCGGAGATAATTTGGCATCACATTGTTCTCCCGAAGTTATCAGAAGTGCGGGGGATAACAAAATTTATTTTACAACTCTTGCACCATCTTCAACACATTTGCTCCAACCTCTCGATGTTGGAGTGTACGGACCTTTGAAAAAACAATGGCGTAAAGTTCTTGACAAATGGAGGCAATCTATACCAAAAGAGCATTTTCCAGTGTTATTACAAAAGTTGATGGATGCCATTGCTCCCAATATCAAAAAAAATCTACAGAGCGCTTCCAAAGGAAAATGAAAGCAGTTTCCTTGAATTTCTGCAAGAGACAAGAGGTTTTAATAAAGACAGAATTCGACACAAGAGAGGAAAGAAATTCGTCGTTAAAGCATAGGCTCAACTAGTAAACAACAATGAGAGCATCCGAGTAGAGGACACTGTGCCAGACTAAGATATTAATGAAGCCCTACTTCCAACATTTGACATGGTAAAAGGAAAGAATCAGCCAGCTATCGCTGAAGCTGGATATTCTGGACAAAACTAGAAGACCCTCGAAGATCCTGGGTTAACAACAAAAACAATCAAGTAAAAGAATAAAACGCAAGCCCAGACGCTTCGACAGCTCCTCAGATGAGGACGATGTGCCTTTGAGTGTCTTAAAACAGAGAGTGACAAATGAAGATTGTAGTCTGCGCACTACTGACACATCTTTAAACGAAGATGATGGTAATTTATGCACTATTTGTAAGGTTGATTTTCGTCATTATCAACTTAAAAGGCCATGGATTCGCTGCGTCACTTGTTGCAAGTGGATATGTGGCATTTGCAATAAAAGCTCGAAAAATGTATCCTATGAATGTGAGCGGTGCGAATACGACTATTCTACTTAAACACTTTTGTTTTTTAATAGTTCCTATGTTTTTTTTGTTGTTTTTTTTGTTGTTTTTTTTGTTGTTTTTTTTGTTGTTTTTTTTGTTGTTTTTTTTGTTGTTTTTTTTGTTGTTTTTTTAATTATGCAAAGATAGAAAAGAATGTTTATTTTATTGGTTTCTTGTTTCTTGTATATAGGATTATCTATGTTATTAAATAAATAACCTATTTCTTCAAATTTAACTTTTGTTTTATTAAAACAATTTTTTTTTAATTTATGGGTGTCAAAGAAACCCGTCACACGGCTATCATTGAGTTTTAAACAATATAAACATTATGTTAAAGTATACCCCCTTAGGGGCTAGATTGACACCTTTAAAAAAATATATATAAAATTTTCCTGGTAATTTAGGCCTTCCCTTTTAGTGTATTTCTCAAGCCAAGACTTCAAGTGGTACGACGAGATAGAATGATCGTCCATTATAGCCTTTTTTGCATTTTGCCACAAACGCCTCTCAAAATATGTCAAAGTAACCCCGGTTTACGGTACCTTTAAAATAATTATTTTACCTTAATTTTCTTTGAATTAATGTTTAAATTTTGTAGAATTTCGTTAGTGTATTGTAGAAGAATATAATGTAAAACCGTATCCACCCTTATTGAACAAACTACTATACATTCATTATTACTTTTTTTCTTAAATTATTTACTATCGAATTATCTATATATACAAATCGGTAACCGTGGTTGATTTCCAGCCATTTCTCTGAAATATCCCAATAAAATATTGTCCGAAAATGAACTAATAAATATGTAGGTAATATTCGTATTTTTCTTAAACGTTTAAGTTGATTTTCAAAGATTTTGTATATTGAACGATACCGTACCTAGCAATTTTGAAGGCGTACCTATTCCCCTCTTAAAAAAATTCACTTAGTAGACCTAATAGAAATGTTCATTTTAAGTTGATGTGATTTTTTTTTGCAAATTTTATTAAATAAATTTCTTTAGTGGGTTTACTCACCTATTTTATACTTTTAACATAATCTAAAAGAAAATGTCTGTTGACGTTTGTGGTATTCCAGATCAAAATTCTAGTCAACAGCTCCAAATGCTGATTGTAATTTTGTTTTTGTTATACTTTTCAACAATATAAACAAAATATATTTATTAATAATAATAATAATAATAATAATAATAATTATTATTATTATTATTATTATGTATGTTTCAACATTATTGGAGTATTTTAAACATTATAACATAAAATACGTATAAGTAAATAAATAGGTAATTGTAAACTATAGGTACCTTCCCAGACAGCACACCAAATCCCAGAGATATCCACAGAATATATTTTGTGGATATCCAATATATCCACAGGATATCAGAAATATTCCGTGGAACTAATATGGATATCCAAATGTCCGTCTATATCCAGAATATAGAAGATATCCTATGGATATTCAGCAAAATATCTAATGAGTATCTCCAGACAATACAAGAAATCCCAGATATATCCATAGAATATATTTTGTGGATATCCAACCAAATGTCCGTCTATATCCCAGAATATAGAAATTCAGATAAATATTTTATAATTATTTTTAGTAGAGGTTCATAAGTAACCAATGGTTATTGAATAACGTCGAAAGAAAATAGAGGTAAAAAATATTCCCAACAATCTGCCTTTGATTTTGCCTACTAAGGAGAAAATCATCCTTATTAGGAATCTTCAGCAATAAATGGAACTTCTCGACTTCAGTCTCTAATGAAGCCTGTTTGTGAAACAATGTCGATCAAACTCAATTACGGCGGGTTAAGCATGAGTAGATACGAAAGTGGTATCGCCATCTATACTTAGGAAGCAAAATCAAAAATTACATCTAGTAGATATCCACGATGGTTTGCGTCCGCGCTTAGACTTTGATATATTTATATTTATAGTGGATGTCCATGGGATATTGAATACACCTTAAAAAAAATTAATTTTAAATATCCCAACGGTACTATTAGCCACAATGGCGAGTACAATGGCGTAATTTTTTAATAATTTGCTATATAATTACAATTATTTATGGACATTTGCATGTCTATAAATTACATTTCATGGATATAAAATAGATATCCACCATGGACTGGACATTCAGTGGATATTGGGATGTTCAGTAGATATCCAAAGGATTTGGTGTGCTGTCTGGGTTATATCCCAAAACTGTTAACTCAAAGCAATCACAATTAACACGAGAATCACCTTGTTGAACTACGACACTAACCATTTTGCAAAAGATAAAACAAAATTTATCTAGGCCGGAAAACTAGAGATTGTATAGTACCTATAAATATTTTAGGACAATTATTAAGAAATACGAAATGCGTAACTTTTACTATGCATTATTATCACAAATTGGCATTTTATAACTATCTTTTAAATTACTTATTATTCAAAAAGTATGATAAGAACCCTGCAATGAAATTGTGTAAGCTCAAATAAATTGGGTTTAATGAAAATAGTTTTAAAAGTAGTACATTTATAATGTAGATATAAAGTTATATACAGGATGTTTCATAAATATCGTAGTTTTTTCAATGCATCTTTATTTGGTTAAAGGTGAAATAGATAATTCGAAATAACATACGCATTTTCACGTAAATTAAGCTTTAAATTTAATAATAGTGGTTATTTTCCAATATAAAAAAAATAGCAACTTCCTCATGCGTTTTGACGACCAGAACCACAGCTGATATGAGGCAATCGGCCCTTAATTATTATAATTATAAATACGATAATTGCGAATCGCAAAACAAAGTCGTAAAGATATTTAAAAAAACCCTCGGAAAGTCGCTACAAAAAGGTTTGTTTTTGTAAATCGCCGCTACGTCTCATAGTTATTAAAAGTCGCTTTTTTCGCGACATGTCGCTACGAACGGCAACGCTGTGGACGGCATTCAATGTGCTTGCGCATTGCCATATCGATTTTTGAACAAGCAAATATTTACGACACCTCCTTTTCAACGCAGTTCGTTGCCAGTATTCATTGACGTCACAACATAAATGTACCGTCTTCAATTATTCAACTATTTTTAAATAAAAATGTAATTTTATCTTAAAAATTATTTTAAATATTGGTTTATTTAGTTAATATTGATCAGCTTTTTGACTTAATAGTTGTATAAAATTTATTTGCACTGAGAATAATATTGTAACGCGAAAATTTGTTATTATAGCTTTTGACTTTTGACGGTAGTTCAAATATACCTAATTTTAACTGTCACTGTCAATTTGAAAGTAATAAATATTCTTTTAAAATGAAATGAAGGAAATAATAATTATTGCTCTTTATTTATTTGTTATTTATTCAGTTTTTATTTTTGTAATTTATAAATATGGCTCGACAAATTAGTGTAGAGATATCAGACGGAGTAAAGGATCTAATTACACAAGTAACAGGATTTCAGGTATTTACTTTTAAATTTATTTTTAAAATAAACATTTTCTAAATCATAACAAATATTTTTAGGATGGTTCAAGCAATTTTATCACTGTTCAAAAATATTTTCATGAGAAACTCAGGAAATCTGACACGATGTATTTTCTTAATAAAACAGAGGTGGATAGAAGTATAGCAGGTATGTCTGAAAAATTCAACTTTCATGGATTTTTCTCGCAAGCTAAAGCCTTACAAGAAGCCTATAATGGATACATAACAGCAAATGTTTCAAAATCACAGTTGAGTACCCATCTTAATGTAGTAAAGTTTTTATTGTGCATGTCCGAGAAACCAACATGCAAATTTTTGGAAAACCCAGAAGAGTTTCAAATTAAAATCGCGCCTAAAGAAGTAACAGAAGAAATTAATTGGGGCGAATATCTCAAGGAAGGAATTGAATCTACCATACCAAAATTTGATGATACTTCAGTAAGTCTACCAAACGTTATTAGATAATTTTTAATGATCAAAAAATTCCAACAATCCCTGTTACAATTCCAGACATTTCCAACAATTCCAGTTACAATTCCAATATTTCCAGTAAAAATTCCAACTATTACAAGAGTATTTTTGTCAAGCTACTTCAATGTTCATCAAAAACACAATAGGGTATTAAATTCATACTATTTTGTAGGATTTTTCAGATATCTCTATGAGTGATGATGAACCTGACTCTAATGATCATGGAGGGAAAAGCACATTGAAAGATGTACCCCTGGTAATTTCCTGCAGTGAAAGAGATGTTATTATGAATTTAAAGGCAAACCGAGAGGAACTACTTAACACAATACAACACACTTGGTACAATAGTAACAAATTTCATGATATGCCACCAACTGAAAGAAGAGAAGGAAATATTGGTATAATTTGGTAAACATTTTAAATTTTAACCCTAATTGCATAGTAGTTTTTTATTTGAAATTATACAAGATGTTATTTTAACTATAGCAAAACCTCATTAATGAATTTATAACCTACTTAAAAGTTTGATTGATGTATAGAAAAGAAATAGACATTTATTTTACTTGTTAAATGCTACAAATGATTACATTACTGACATGCTTGAATCAATATACCCATATGTTTTAATTTACCTATTTTTTAGGGAAAAATATTTAGAAAAGCAAGCAATGGGATTGGTTGTGATGAAAAAATCAACAATAATATCAGAGTATAAAGTTATTAGAGAAATATTATGGCAACTATGGGACCTGCACACATCTTCAGTATTTCATTTTGAAGGAAATGATCTTACAACTAGAAGTAATATTACAATTTCGAGTTCTAGAGCTGTAAGTAGATAAATTTACTTTTTTATTGTAAGAATCACCGAATGCAGAAAAGATTATTCACTCTTTAGTGAAATTGATTTGTTTTTCATGTGTCACCAACTGTCTATGTAAGTTAGCGACATATGATAAAGTTTTTTATTATAAAATGTCAAGCATGGTCTAATACCTAAAATGCAACCATTGAATATCAAATTTTATCAGTTTTATACGAGGTACTTTACTCATCAGCAAAAATCATATTTTTTGACAAACCTCTTATATGGCTTAAAAAAATTGATATCTGATAATTGCATTTTAAGTTTTGGACCATGTAGAACCTTTTATCAAGAATAAATATAGTTCCAACTTAGTGAAAAATATCATATAAGCAAAACAATAATTTTGTTTATTCACTGGAAATTGCTTGTAGTACATTTTTAATTATTTTGTCATTTTTTTACTGTCTAAATTAATATCAGCCAATTAATCGTGGGCTTACAAGCAAAAGGCATTAAGTCAAAAAATAGGTTTATGAGTTATAGACAATTTATAGTTTCAATGAAGTTCTACATGCTGTTGGGAGTACAATGCACTGTTTTTACATGATATACAAAAATATAAACCCATTTCGACAAATATTTGACTTGTAAGCCCACAAAATTACATTTAGAAATTTACTTGCTTTGGAATAATTATTAATCCAAATTTTAATTATAATTTCAAATCATACTCTAAATTCATGCGTTTCCTTGAAGTTAATTGCTCAGATTCGATGTGGATTGATTAATTTAGCTATAGAAGTAATAATATTTGTCTTCTGTTTGTTATAGATCAGTTTTCAAAGCTTTATTCAAAATCAAATATTGCCGTACATCAAACTGTTGGAATTTTTTAGAGATTTTTCGAATTGTTTGGTTATTAAGGAGGAGGAATGTATTACAATGGTACCCCAAACTTATAGAAGTTACAACAAAGCAATTCAAAATTTAATTAGGCCCATTTATCTTAAATTAACGGAATTGGAAGACAAAGTTAGGGAACAAGGTAAGTTAAAATATTCAATTACCAAATATAAGTATAAGTAAGTGAAATGTATTTTTAAACTATGGTATTTAATGGAAATAACTAATAAATAATAATATATTTGCAGTATTACCACAAATAGGAATAGCAGACATTAATTGCTATCCCTAATAGAGAACAAAAAAAATAAAATATAAAAAATAAATTTTGGCACAATCGAGCCAAAATTATAAATATAAATTTTATATAAAATGTAATATTACATTTTATTACAATTTCTAATTATTTGATCTTTTTATAGTATTTTTGCACTGACAATTATTATTTAATTGACATGTTTAGTCATGAAGGATGATTTTGTGAAAATTAGATGTTCTAGCCAAAAGAGAGAAAGTCAAAAATTTTGTTTTGTCAATATTTAGGGATAGTAGACTACTATCCAACCATTTTTTTAATTTAAACATGGCCCCTCATTGCAGTGGTGCCAACACTGTGGCACACCAAACTCTTCTATAAGTTCCTCGCTTAACTCCTTTTGAAATCTAACACGTTGAGATCTACCACTTAAGTATGATTTAATGAAATTGTTAGCTATACCCCTTATACCAATGTTATGTAACCTATCTAGTAGCATTTGGTGTGCCACAGTGTCAATGGCTTTAGCCAAGTCTAGAAATATACCAATCACCTTATTTCTCTGATCCAATCTTTGAAAAATTTCACTAGATACCTTGCACAATGCATCCTCAGTACAGGAATCATCCCTAAAGCCATATTGATTTTCATTGATTAAATTATACTTGTTTATAAATAGCAACAACTTGAGCCTAATACATTTTTCTATAATTTTACTAATGGTGCTTGTTAGTCCCACAATAGATCTGAAAAGGTCGCGGTGGACAAGGACAAATAACGTCCAACTCCTAATCTAATCTAATGGTGCTTGTTAAAGCAATAGGTCTATAATGATTTGTGATTTTTTTTTATCACCCTGTTTGTTTAATGGAACAATGATGGCGCGTTTAAGTCTATCAGGGAAGATTCCTAAGCTAAAGATGTTATTTATAATATGTTTTAATGGACTCAACAAAGGAGCATGGAAATTTTTAATTATGTTAGTACCAATATTATCCTGGCCACCTTTTACATTATTTTTCAGGCTATTTAAATATGGTTCATTGTCAGATATTGAAGTGAAATAGAAAGAGTTCCAAGTTGATTTAACCGCTAATTATTTACCAATTTTATTAAAATAAATGTTGAATTCATTGGCTATATCTTTCTTGTCAAAGATTTCTTCATTATTACTATCCATGATACTTTTAATTTCATTTTTATTTTTATGGTCATTAGTGACTTCTTTAATTACATTCCATATTTTTTTGGGATCATTCACATGTTTTATTGTTAGATTTTTATAATGGGTATATTTAGCTTTTTTGATTAGATTAGAAAGTGTTTTTCTACACTCACCGGCAGAATTAACCGCCCACCCAATTATTTTTATTTATTTCTGAAATTTTCGGAGATTTTCGTCACTTTCTGACATTAATTGATATGACGTGACATTTGATTGGTATTTGTTTGCTTTTTCAAGATGTACTTAGACTTTAAAAAGTAAAAAAAATCAAAATTACAAATATCTCCAACTAAATAACAAAACATTGGGTGGGCGGTTAATTCTGCCGGTGAGTGTATATTCTTTGTATTTATTTAAAAGTAATTTCTATTAAGAGTACATTGATTTTTTAATTTAATTCTGTTTTGAATTGAATTTAAGAGGCCACCTGTGATCCATGGTTTTAATTTATTATTTTTATTATTAAAATATTTCCTTTTAGTACATTGCGTTACAAAACATAAGTTTATCTACAAATATGTCAGTACTTACATTAATATCATTTTGCGTAAGAACATCATCCCATTTTGATTAACTTGTTATTGTCTATGGTTTCACATGGGAGGTTATTTTGAGTTATTTACATATTTTAACTTTTGTTATTAAATTCTTATTATTTATACAAAAGTTATACTCCATACACTGGTAGAAAAATAAATTTATATGAATATCGTTTAAAAAATAACAAAATAAAAAACCCTGAAACATTATCGGTTACTCCAAATATCAGACAAACACAACATTTCAAAAATTTTAAATGTTAATAGACGTCGGATAAAGAGAAAAAGATGTTCAGAGAATGGCTTAAGAAGAAACACCATATTTGAGTAAAGCGTGTGTCCTGGAAAACCTGGCCTTTGTGTTGGAAATTGTTTTGTACAGTTCCATAATGACCAGAACTAGTAATTATTATATTCTTTGTTATAAAGTTTTCTATTCAAATTTCCAGTAATTGTTTATTCGCACAATAATTACTTTCTGCAATTTCAAAATTAAATACGCACATGTGCGTCACTTAGATATGAAAGAAACCTTAATGATCCAAACAAAACAAAATTTACCAAAAACTTTCCAAATGTATTCTGCCAACAAAAAATCAATCACAGTAATGACTGTTTTCAGAAAATACTCGTCAGCACCTATCAATATCATTTGCAAACCATCAATTCCTAAAGCCTGCGTTTTAATTTTCATTAAATACTTATAAATAGTATTTTGATGAACTATTGTAAATTTAACAAGTTATGCAAGTTGTCTTTAAAATTATTACTATAGAAATGTAGCAAATCTTGGTCAGTATCAGTACAGTTACCAGTTACCAATAAAAAGTGATTGTTTATGTCATTGGGAAAATTTAGGTTTTCAGATAACTTAGATTTTCCAGGTTTAGAATTAATATTTAAATTATTAAGTTTTTGCCACATTAAACGACTGTTTCTACCAACTCTATCAACGCAATATTTTAGATAATCTTTCTTTTTAATTTCTAATAGCCACCGTGGTAAAATTTTTTAATTGTTTATAATATTCATAATGAGTTACATTTTTAGTCTCTTTATACTTGCTAAGGGCCTTTTCTCTTAATTTTATTAGTAATTTAATATTGTCTGTAAACCAAGGAGGCTCAGGTTTTTTAGCCTTGATTCTCTTACGGGAGCGTTTGTATCAAATAAATTACTTAATAAAAGACTAAAATAGGAGACTTTATCATTAATATCCTGCATATGGAAGATTTCTTCAAAGGGGTTGTAACAAATTCCTATCAACACCTTTTAGAATTCTAGAATAAATTATTTCGTCACTTTCATCAATTTCAAAATCTAATATATGACAAACAAGTTGGTGATGTGATAATATATCCTTATTACCGTGACTGTAAGATGTATATTGATTTGAGATTAATATAATGTCAATGAGGCTTTCGGTAATTGCTGTAATTCTTGTAGGTTCATTTATGACTTGATGCATATTAAATAAATCTGTGCAATTATTAAATTTTAATACATTGCTATCTAAAAAATCAATGTTTACGTTACCACCACAAATAACTTCATCAAATTGTGCATAAATATCGACTAAAATTACTTCAAAATCTATTAAAAAACTACTTACTATTTTATCTTCAGGTTGGTATAGATTTCCAAAAGCAAATTTACTATTATCTACTTTGAAACTTATCCACAATTGTTCAACAGAATCCATATAATTTAAATGTGCATAATATTAGCTCTAATGTAGATAGCAGTACCCCCACCTCTGAATATTCTATCATTCCTTACAAGATTGTATCCCTGTATGTGTATAGTATGAGTCTATAACAGTGGTTCTCAAAAACTTTTTTAGTGACTGAAACTTTTTGAAAATTTCGGAAAAAAAGTCCTCCTTGCTCTAGTCTCTTGCCAGGTCCCTCCCGTTTCTTTGGGGAGCCCCTACAACAAAATTCTCAAAATCGTATCATACTTTCTATGGCCTCTAAAAAAAAAGTCTTCATACCAAAATCATATAAGCCGTCTTTTCCTAGCCTCTAAAAAAAAGGTCTTCAAACCAAAATCATATACGCCTTCCTCCAACCCAAAATACCAAAATCATTAGGTCCTCCAACCCAAAAACGGAAATCATATACTCCTTCCTCATCCTGACTTCTAAAAAAAAATATACTCTTATTAAAAAAAAAAAAATTCAATAGTCCTACTTTTTCAAAGGCTTTGCGGAGCCCCAGGGCTCCGCGAACCACACTTTGAGTAACGCTGGTCTAGAATATTTGTATTAAACCAGGTTTCTCCAATTCCTACATCATAATTTTCGCGCAAAATAAAAGTTTTACATTCATCAAATCTATTACACAGTGATCGTGCATTAAAAAAAGCAAAAGAAAATTTTTTCATGAAAATATTTAGTCAACATTTCAACAAGTTATATCTTCTCAACTATTCAATAACTCAATAAAAAGAAAAATTTGAAAAATACATGCATGAATGATCCTTGCAAATAATATTCAAAACCAATAATTACAGTTAATGGCAAACACAAGAAAACAAATAAAAAAATATTTCATTGTGACGCCCATGATTTAACACATGCCAAGTAAAGTTCCATACAGGGCCGACAAGAGGGGGGGTAGCCGGGAGCAAGGCTCATGTGGAGGCCCGGCAGCTTTGGCAGAGGACATTTTTTTTTTAGATATTTCACTAAAGATGAGAAGTTTTTTCTTGAAGACTTTTTGTGAGAAGTTTTTTCTTGAAGACTTTTTTTTTAGAAATGTTTTATTGAAAAGGCCTAATTTTTGTCGCAGGGCCCGATCTGAAAAATTGTCCAAAATAAATAACAAATAATTTCAATCGATTAAAATATTTTTACCAATTTAACACAAAAAAAAAGATAAGAGAAACTGGCAAATACCTACTATATAGAAATTTTCCAAAAATTAAATTTATATAGTCGTAGTGATATGTTAAAAAAACAAAAGCCCGATTCATGATTCATGAATTATAAGCAATCGTAAGAGTCAATGCGTTTTTTTTACACACTTTGTCTTTTCCATATTTTTTCACAGCAGCTTTTAAGAGTTCAACAGCAGGTTTTGTTAGATCCTCTGTCAAGGTTATACCGGTACCCTGTAATAACTTTTTTTTACTACTAACATGAGAAAGCACCATTATTTACTTCATTCCTCTAATGAGAAGTAATATTTCTCACCCTAGGTAAATAATGATAATAAAAAAAAACCTAGGTAAATAATGAAACTAAATTTCATTAGTTTCATTTTGTTAATTTGACAACTAAACTCCCAGACTACTTGATATTTTGAAATATTTGAAAAATAAGTAGGAAATAACTAAAGCTGGGTTTATCAAATCTAATCAAATCAAATATGATAATATATATCAGTGTAAACAGTAAAAATATATATTAACTAGGAAATTCAACACCGGCTTCAAAAATTATTAATTAATACCAATAAATCCATGTCATTAAAATATCAAAAATGCAATGGGATATTTCCTAGAATCATACCAAAATTTGACACATGCCAAATTTTTACATAAATAAAGCCAGTCTGATTAGAAACACGCTCCAGTCTGCTTGATATTTCGAAATATTTAACAAATTGTTAGGAAATTACTTATGTCAAAATTAAAATTTCTAATATATTAATGTTAGTAGTAAAAAAAATTCTATATATACCTCGGCTGAGAAAGCTATTATTTACCTCGCACATTATATCCCTCGGCGCTACGCGCCTCAGGATATAAAAGTGCTCAGTAAATAATAGCTCACTTCTCACCCTAGGTATATAATGTACTATTTCTCAGAAAAAATGTGTTTTTCTACATTTGTATGAAAGAAAGCGCACAAAAATGGGTCGACTGTCTTTATTTGGATTACTATTGACTTTTTCTAATTTAAGGCACATTTCAATATCTTCTGGTGTCAAATTAATATGCATTGTTTTCTTAAATAATTTTAAAACTTTACCTTCGACATTGATATCATAATCAAATGTTTTTAAACCAAAAAGCAGCAGATATGAACTTGGATTACAAATTTTCGTAAAAAATTGTTTTCATAAAATATTTAGATGAAATAAACATTCATTTGGTGGCATAAATGCCTTAATGACATTTTCCTTATTATTAAATCTTTTATTTTAAATTTCACAAAACACAAGGAGATTTTTATATTGAATTTATTTTTAGAAACTACCTACACATTACTAAACCTTGCTGATGATCTTCAAGTTATTCTGGAACCCGTGGTGCTATTGAAGAAGATCCATACTTTCGTAATAATAGATTTTTCAAATCGAAATAATATAGTGTGCGCTTCATCGTTATTAGCTCATCTTCACAATAGTCTGCAGTACTCGATAAATAAATTGGATCAGGACTTGAGAGTTACATTATATTTAGAAAGTCTATATCATTATCTCAATATAATTGATTTGTGGTTTACGAAAAATGATCTTACGGATTATTCTGGAGAATTTTTAATTGTCAAGTGAGTTTTTAATTATTTCATAAATTTATTATGTTTATTAATTATTATTTATTTCAGTAAAAATACAAATCGTCCTAGGAGAAAATCTGATGGGTAAGTAAAAGATGGATTTAAAAATATTATCAATTCATTCTGAGACTTTTCAATTAAAACTGTATTACTAGAAGGTAATGCAATTTTATTAATAAGTGACCATACCACAGTGTGAAACAAATTTCTTTTAATACAATCTGATATCTGTCAATTATTCGTTGTCAATCACTCATTATGTCAACGCTTGCAAAGAAGAACAGTATAGATTGAAAATATTAAATCTGTAGACAGGCTCACGAACTAAGAGGTGCCTAACTACTTAGGAGGATGCACAAGAGGTCTATTGAGGCCTAAGTGCCGTGGGGGGGGGGGGGGGGAAGCCACCCTTCACATGTTACAAATACAGAGAGATAAATACAGAAAAATCGTTCCAAGTTTTTAAGTTTTGTTTTTTAATAATTTTTAAAAATTATAATTTGAAATTTATCTAGAATCTAAAATTGTTATGTAATTATTTTTTTGGTAGCATTTTAATATTTAAAAAACATTCGAGATTTTTTTGGTGTTGCTGAAAACACCATTATATATCGTGTTACGATTATTTGCGACTTCCAAAGAAACCGATTATTGATCATATTTTTTATGGTTTCACTGGCTGTAATAAAAAATCCTGACAAGGGGGACTGTTAGGTTAGTTGGATTGAATGTGGGAGTAATAATTGAGTGAAAGAATATAGTATTATATTGAAGTAACAAATAGAAACAAATACAAAATTCATAATCGTATTAAGGACGGGGTATCCCTGTGTATTAAAATTGTATGTGTAGACCAAAAGTTAAATCGACAGTTTTCCGAATATGTAGTGTTTAAAAATCTAATTTTTGGCCAAATTAAAAATAAAGGTCTAACTTAGGTCACCTTACTATTGAAAATTAATAAATTTATTATTTTCAATAAAAACCAATCATGTAAAATAACCCCCTTTTATTTCATCTCAAAGGTGCCGTCTTGAATTATTTTAACCTCGATGTCAAACAAATAATAAAAAAAAAATGTAATACGACCTAAGTTCAACCTTTACTTGAAATTTGGTACACTCAGAATATTTAAATATTGTATATTTTTCAAAACGTGTAGATTTGAAATTTATAAGTCACTTTCTTTGAAAAAACATGTCAAAACGAATTTGGACCAAAAATGGTGTCTAATTTAACTCTAAATATAAAAATAAACCCCGAAAAATCAATAATTACTTCATGTAATGTAATAAAGATGGTGCTCCGATCGATAATATTTTGACTAGTATTTGATTATTTCCGTTTATATTAAGTGTGTTTACGGGGGATATACGAGATGATAATACTGCCTCTGATACTGTTTTTATGATACAATTGGAAACGACCTTTTTTCATCGGCACTCTTTTTTCTGACCTTTTGACACGCGCCTATTTGTTATATGATGTATGATTATCGGTTATTTATCAACTAAAAGTATAGGAAATTAGTACATTGTGAATTATAATATCATTTTAATGCTATTTTTGAAACTAGTTCAAAAGTTGCATTTAACGATACTCAATGTTTCATTTTACCGTCAGTTTTAGTTTGACATATCCGTCATTTTATGTTTACAAAGCTCAGTTTCTATTCGAAAGTAAGAAAAACAGTCAAAATAAAATGCGAAAAACACTTTTTATCAATTTCGTTTATGTCAACTGAAAGCGACAATTGCTGAAGACGTAACAAATAAATTAGGTCGAGAAATAAATAAATCTATACTATAAGTAACATACCATATATTATACCTGTTAAAATAAATCAAAAATAAGAGAATATATCGTTGACGTATATACTTTTCCATCTGTGTTTAGTGATTACCAATTGCAAATTACGTATGAACATGCTTCTGCGCAAAAAAAACAATTATTTCAAGTACTTGTATCATTAAAGTCCATTTAATTATAATTTTTATAAATTTGCTAATATTTGCACTTTAAGTTTCATTATATGGGGTATCCAGACATTTTAATCCTCGTCCTCTTCTATTTAAAATTATCTCAGGTGCCATATATTCCGAGTAAAATTTTTCTAATTTTTTAACCATATTTTAAAAAAAAATGGGTTGAAAATGAATTTTTTCTACAAATAGTGGATTTTCATCTCCAGTATATACTACAAAGTAGCACAATTTTCTTTGAGCTATACCTAGCTGTCCTTGAATCTAAAAGTATATAAAATCATTATTAGAAAATCAAACATAAAAAGAATATTAATATTGTAGTATCATTTCTAGCACATTTCTTAAAAATCATGAATTAATTTAACATATTGAAAATTTTCACCTGGTAAAAGTAGTTATGGTTTTCTTTTAAATGAATGTCACCATCTTCTATTTTTAAGCATGGAAATGGGTTTGAATATTAGGTAATGTGCGTCAATAATGTCAAATTATGACAATTCACAGAAAACGTCAACTTTTTATTTAGATTTTAATGTGCAAAAGCCTACCTACTTTGGATATTGATCGTAGAAAAAATATATTCAGAATAATGAAACATTATTATTAAATAACAAGTTTTTTTATTGTCAAATTTAATACGTAATATTATTCTAATTTTTAATTGCAAATATTTGAATGTTAAAATTATAGCGTTTAATTTTTTTATTCAATGACGAACTCGAGAGTGATAGAAAAAAAATACTACCTACCTTTAATGCAGGAAGTCGATGTCAATTTATCCAAAAATAAAACTGATTAAAATGTACAATGAAACTCACTAGGACACTTGGCACAAATAAATCAGTTTTCTATTAAAGAAAATAACACTTATTAAAAACAAACAGCACAATAAAACACTTCAGAAACGTGTGATGTAATTTTGAAAACTAAATACCCGTAAGCTTGTTTGTAAATTTATAGACTCTTAACTCCTTCCCCCAGCCTTCATTAAGTATATTAAAAGTCGTGACGTCATATTTACACAGATATACGGTAATGTGTTATTGACAATCAGGGAAATGTTTCTAGGAAATAACTACCTACCTAAGATAAGATAAATGAATGTTAAATACCTACTCATAATATCTATTGTAGGGTTTTTGTACTTTAATAGGATAAATATTTATGCAGGCCTGGAAATTCCAGGAAATGACCGTCAAAATTACCCAAAAACATTAGGTTAGTACCAACATCAGATAACAGATAACTTCGGTATTTAACCAATTAATCACAATTAATATTCCTGAACATTCAAATGACAAAAACTTCCATCTTTAACCAATGAGAATATAGTTTTCATTCGATACTTCAAAATCACAATTTATTAATTAGGTAGAATAGTTTTAAAATATATTGCGAATTGCGACACGTCAAGCGTCCCACTCCGACTCAATGTGACGCAATTATTGTGGCAATATATTTTGAAACGACTCTATATTCGTGACTTGAAATTATAAACATCCCTCGTATTGCTACCCGTATATAAACCAAATTATTTGTTTTAGGAAATATTTATATTTAATGTGAGGTTTTTGTTGTTGCCATCTGCATAATACCTACCTACATTCTTTACTTTGGTCCAGGAAACAAAGTCGATTTTCGTTAAAAATAAAATGTAATAGGTAGGTAATACTTTATGAATAAAAGTATTGAAATAAAGTATGCTCATACTCCAAAATGAGTCCTAGAGTTAACATTTTTATAATATTATAAATGGCATATGAAACGATTGGACCGTTTTCACAATCGCGAAATATTTTTTTTTTATTTGGTAAAATCCCGGCAATTATTGAAAAATAGATTTTATTTACAGGACTATTATTATGATCCTTCGAACTCAGTCTACTAAAAACCGGTTTATAATACAATATAATACAATATCCCCTAATAGCTAGTCGGTCGATATTTATAGTTACTTAAAGATTTCTGTAATAGTTTGCACTAATTCAATCTCTAGTCGGTAGGTAACAGCACCTCCTTGATTGAATCTAAATTGACATAATTTTGTTCAGAAATTCCTAGGAGACGCTGTCCTTAATCAACTTGAGCGTGACTTAAAAAGTGACACTTGACATTTTTGACATAATCAGGATAACAAGTATTGTTTGCCAGGTCAGGTTTGCCAGCATATATAAAATACATGAACAGGGACAACATGACCCCAAAGTAATGTTCAGCTGCCCAAAAAACGAGAGGGGGGAAGAAAAAGATTGTGTGATAATAATAAAAAAACAGAAATAAAACGGAAATAAAACAAATAAAACGGAAATAAAAAAGAAATAAAATAAATAAAACAAATAAAGCAGGAATTATATATAATAAATAAAACAAATAAATAAAACAGATATAAAACGGAAATAAAATGGATAAAACTGAAATAAAACGGAAATAAAACTAAAATAAAACGGAATTATTATAAAATAACTAAAACAGTAATAAAATGGAAAGAAAACTGAAATGAAACGGAAATAAAACGGAAATAAAACAGAAATTAAGTGGAAAGAAAACTGAAATAAAACAGAAATAAAATGGAAATAAAACGGAAATAAAACAGAACTAAAACGGAAATAAAATAAAAATAAAATACAGAAACTCAGTTTACCTAGGACCTTGAACCTAGGCTACCGCTACCCAGATCTACGTATACCGTGTCTTCCGTGGTAACATAACCTTACTTTCTAAACTTTGCAAACAAACTATTTTTCCCGTTTTATTATTTGTTCGAACAAAATCGTGTGCCAGGTATAGTGTAAAAACAATTTTGGAGTGTAACCCCGCGTATGGGGGAGTCCTCCGGGCCAACCAAAACCGGGTACGAGACATTGTACTCGCGTCGTGTCCGCGAATGTATCACCGCCGCCTCAAAACCACCTACAGTAAACGTTAGTGTGTCCAAGAAACACGCCGCACTCCACAGCCCCAAGATTTTCAAGGCAAAACATACACACTCTTATAAAACAGTGAGTACTTCCAGAAATCCAACTAACTCTCCTAACCCGGGGTCATATACCACATTCAGAAGGGACCCCCTGGCCGAAAATTTAAGTCAAAAAAGTTTGAAGTAGTCACTAATTTGGTGAAAGACACCAACCCAAATCAGATGGCCACAGAGAGTCAAGCCACCCCAGAATCCAATTCCAGACAGCCATAAAAATCGGCTACAAACAGCAGATAAAAATGAACGAAAAAAGTATGGAGAATAAGAGATTCGAAAGTATGGAGAACGCGGCTGACAGCCAAAAAAGTATGCAGAAAGCTCCCGACGCGAAAGCTACGAGAACACAGCCGCCGAGCGATTCGACCAGCGACGAAAACAACGATTCTCAGTCATCGCAATATAGTATCGACGGTCCGAGATCCGATGCCAACAATGAAAGTATAGAGAAACTTATAAAGACGCATGAGCACTCTCACAGTGAATCCAGCAGCCCAGACACAGATGATTCACCCGATTTGCACATCGATGAACACGAATCTGACACAGACACCCCGGACACAATAAAAAATTCTTCAACTTTTGGGCAAAAAAAAGTATGTAGAAAATTCAGAAATCCCGCCGGACTGCCCAAAATTCGAATCTGCATACAAAACCATAGCAATTCCAAGTCATGTGACTGCCAGAATCCTTAACTTCGGACAAAATGAGGTCTCATCAGGGGGGGAATCATCAAACAACAGCGATGCACCCCCACCCCAGAATATCATACAAACAGTGGCAGATGTCTACGTCCAAGCACCACCATTACTCCCTCAGAAGAACTACTACACCTCTCCAAAATCCCCAGTCCCAAAAAGGAAAAGGACAAACGAGACTCAACTCCAAAACCTGTATGAAATTCAGACAGTAGAAATGGATACGGACACAAATAAAGGGGAATTTCAAACGGAAATAAAACAAATAAAACAGAAATAAAACAAAACAAAAATAAAACAGAAATAAAGTGGAAAGAAAACTGAAATAAAACAAAAATAAAACGGAAATAAAACAGAACTAAAACGGAAATAAAACAGAACTAAAACGGAAATAAAATACAGTAATAAAACAGAAATAATATAAAAGAAATAAAACAAAAATAAAACGTAAATGAAATAGAAATAAAACAAAACAAAAATATAACAGAAATAAAACAAATAAAAAATCGGTAAAGTATTTTACCCAGAACTTCCCTCGATATAAGAATTTTAAAAACGCGGAACGCCCAAGTACCGTAAATGGGTGTCAAATTTTGAGTCTTATTTTATAGGGTAAGATTAGAATATTTTTATATCTCTTATCTAAAAGGACGATTTTTATTATTTCAATTCAAGGGGGACATTTTTTGATTAAATGCGATTTCTTTCAATGCCATTTTGAATTATCAAAAACTTATTTAGGATCTGTTATTTTTGGCTTCTAAAATTCTCAGATACCAATTTTAGTGCCGACTTTTTAATTATTTAAAAAAACTGCTCACTCTTTATAAAACTGATTGGACTGGTTTTGAGTCAGAAAAGAACCTTTTATAGAGGGAAGTAAAAGTAAATCCAAAGAAATTTGTCAATAAAAATAAATTGAATAGTTATTACTTGAACAAAAAGTTATAAAATGTTCCTACATACTACAGTAATAAAGTTCTTGCACACACTGGAGGATTATCAATGCAATTTTTACATAGTCTAGATGTTTCCTTTCTCACCTTCTCATTTTACAACTATATCCTTCAGTCACGGGATGAATTCGTTCTTGATCAACGGGAAGAATTTTTTTTCTTTTACCTCCATGACTCGAACCAACTTGTACAAAATGTCTACCATTACTGTCATAAGTTCATGTGTTTAAAAAAGAAATTTCTTTTTGTCAAACTTTTTGGTTACCCTGTATATATCCGTATTGGGAATAATGAAAATCTTAATTACAAAATTTTACTATATTTTTAACACCGATTTGAAAAACCTAATTTTTTTTTTATTCTAGTTCAACAGATAGTGATTATTATAATTTGAATTTTAATATATCGGAAGGAGTTGATGAAACTAGCAGAGACGATGAAGTACTTAAAATAATTACCAGCTCCGTTATTCAAATTGGAAGAAATCTTCATTTGCTCCGGTTATTAGGAGATTATTCTGTGATACATGAAAGTAAAGGTAATGTATGATTTATTTATTTTTTTTTTTTTTGTTAAAAGTTTTATTTTATAAATTAAATGTTAGGATAATACCATGTGCCTACTAAATGTGATTAATTTGACAAAAGATTTAAAATTTTGGTTATTAAGAAAAATATATACAGGGTGACGAAATAGAGACATTTACTGGCAACTCAGTTCTTTTTTGGAAAAACGCTCAGACCCGTCGATTTTGTTTTCGAGGGGGACACAAAATTGGCAAAAAATCACGTTCATACGTGCAGCACCCTGAGCGGGGGTGTGGTACCATCCCTAAAATCTTAAATGGAAAGGAGGGGAGGGGTTGAATGATTTCAATTCCCTTTATAATGATGTAAAATTCATGTACTTCAGTTCAGTAGTTTTGAAGATTTATTGATTTAAAGCTTAAAGTAGACTTTTAATAGGTACAGTAGAAACCACCGATATATGGACTCCCATAAAAACACTTTGAATAAAAAAAATTCATAAAAACACCCAGATAAATAAACCATAAACTAATCAAAAAATAAGTGATAAGAAACTCGTTCCACGGAGTGTGTATAGTACGGGTGATTAAATGCTATACAGGGTGTTTCATAATATATGCGCAGGACTTCAGGACGTGATAACTCGTCCAAAAATATGAAAAAACGTTTCTATTAACTTACCCTCTAAAATGCACCATTTTCGAGATACAGGGTGTTGAAATTGAAAAAAAAAATTTCTACGCCACTGGAAAAGTACGGTTTTGAGACGCCCATTTACACCGCCAATGTTTTCTACACAAAAAAGGTACTCTTGGTCATACGCTCTAAAGTCGACCGTTTTCGAGAAAAATCAAATTTTAATGTTGAAATATTCTTTTTTTTTTTCATTCTCTATGGAAATTACGACTTTTCTTTATTTTGAACAATTTATCTTTCAACGTCAACATAATGTGATTGGGTTGAAAAGCTAGGTTATGCTCTAAAACAAATTGTAGTTCTTATTAAAACTATGTAGTTTTAAAAGAGCCCTATGGTTTACTAGATTAAATAAATTATAAAAGTTATGTTGTAAAATTGTAGAAAATGTACCTAAAAGGTTCTGGGATCAATTTAATTTAAAGTGTAATCCTAAAACACTTTTTAAAAGTAAGTTTTAAAACCACTTGAGATAACTGCAAAAAAGTATGTCTCTTTAACACCAAACACACCTTAGGAATATCTTAAAACTAAATAGTTCTAAAATTACTTATTAATTAACCCTTACAGGTCAGCGATAAAGCATAGTTTACTTTAGGATAAATCTAGTTTTCTGAAACAGATTTAAAGGAATCTATAAAATCAAGCAATAAGATCAATTTATCCTGCAGTCCTATTAGCAAAAAAAAATAACTGTAATAAAATAATTGCTAATTTTTATGCTTTTACAAAATCCTAATAAAACATAAATAAAACTGTATTCCCTTAAAAATGTTACTTGGGTGCTCTACGTTTTTTTTTTTTCAAATCGTAATATTAAAAAAAATTCACATATGGATTCAACTTTTTGGCACACACTGTATAATGCAGGTTTGAGAATTGTACAAAACTATATTTTTTTTTATTTTTTTTTATTCTAGTCAACCTTTCCACGAACCGTTTGCGCAGAAAAGTTTTCAACTAAAAAACAAAATTGCTTGTTCCTTAAAACCTTCCTGATTTTTTCACACTATAAATATCTTTAAAACCTTTATGAAAATATACAGAACGGCAACGTCGTATTATCATATAAGTTTATTTGAACGTCGGTTCGTATAGGGACCGTGCGTGAAATATAGAGGCAGCACTACTGCCGAAGTTAGCCCTCTCTAGTGTTTAATTTTAGAATTAAATGGGGTAAACATTGCAAGTAAATAATAGAGGATATTTTTTAAAATATTAAATATAGTTAAAAATAGATACCGGCCCGTACCAAACAATCGTGTACATGGTCAAAATGAAATGAAAATTTGAAACATTATTAAAATCTGGACATGTATATACATTTTAAGCAAAAAGATTTAAATGGCTAAGTGACAATAAATTGTAAAGTTGTACCTTTAAACAAGTGTATCCAATGTCAAAATATCGGTATTTAGTAACACTGAATTTAAAAGTATTACAATAACATTTAAAAAATGTAAATTAATAAAAAATATTGATAGTAATAATAATAATAAATCTTTTTAGCTTTGTTAGTCGAAATGTCATTCATCCACTGACGTTTATGAGATGTCCAATGATACATATTATAGATTGCTCACCCATCTATAAAAAAAAATATGAAAAGCGGGTTGCAATGTGCCTTTCCTAGAGCTCACTAAATAGAGCCGTTCTAGCCCAAATGTGTTTTAAAATAAAATTTCAGCATTTTAATCTTTAGAAAAAGAAAATAATTAAAGTGTTACTTCAAGACATGTTATTATGTATTTGGAAAGTTGAGTTTCCATGTAGTTAAATAATATTAAGAGATCTAGGGTGAAATTACAGAACGTTGTAGATCTGCAAATATGGCGGACTTACAAATGCAAGTATTCTAAAAAATATCTGCAAATTCGCAATATTTATTGTGGTTTATTACTCCCAACAACACTAAACCCAAATTTGGAATACGAAAACTTGACACTTGCATGTGTAAGTCAGTCATATTTGCAGATTTTCAAAGTTGCCGCCATATTTGCAGATCTGCAAAGTTGCAGACGTTCTGTAATCTCATCCCTAAACAATGTTTATATCAGATTGATATAAATAATTTTAGACTACTCTCATTTCAGAAATAATACTACATAAAATACTTAATTGCAATATGTAATACAATTTTGAAAAGGTAATGTAAACAACTTTGATATGAGGTATAAACAACTTTGGTAAGAGTTGAAATTGGACACTTATCTATTATTCTGAATAATGTTTAATGGTAATGTCACTAAAAAAATTTACAAAAAATCACTTGATTTTTAATATTTTAAAGTTTGTTGCAATCTCTTTTGACAGTAATTGCAATGTATTTTTTTTTTAATTTGGTGTCAACGGCGTCGACTACTACGGCCATTAGCCTCGTGTTCTGTGCAGGCTTTGTTACTGTTTCCCAGCGCCACTTTAGGAACAGCACTGTTAATTAGAACCCAACAGTGAATGGTCGAGTGGGGAATCCTACCAAGGCATCAGAATTAATTTTAAATAATTAAATTAAAAAATCCCGGCCAACGGTGGGATTTGATCCTGAGACCTTCCGATCTCAAAGTCATGACTCGAACCACTGAGCCAACCCACCCCCCAATTGCAATGTATAATTTATGATTTGTTTATTTTAATAATAAATGAGAAATAGTTAATAAATTGTAAAGAGGGCCATGATATTTTTGTCAAATTTTCCATTCTTATTTCATAATAACATTCTACATTAGTTTTAATCAACAGAATAAACCATTAATTATCTGTAAACTTATATTTATATAAAATGTTCATTTAAATATGTAAAAATCTTAATGACAAGAAAACACTAAAGATTCTAATTTCTAAACCGGTTCTGTAAATAATTTCTTTACAACTAAGTGCTCAAAATTGATACAAACTAGATAAAAAGAAAACTTTGCCCAGTGAAATACGCTTTTCGTCGTCTGATTTACATATGGATAAGCAATCTTTGTAATTATGTATATCATTGGGTGTGAGACATTAATTGTTGTGCTCTGTGGAAATTTATAAAATTTCTTTACTTTCGAATGAAATCCAGGTTTCCAAAGTGATGTGTTTGAACATCCACGGATGCAACAAGTTTTTTCGATAATGATATTACGAACATAATTCGACTTTATTTAATTAATAATTATTAAACAATAAATGCCGTATAAAACATTAATAAATACCCCCCATAAAGTTCACATTTTTGTCACCAGTTAGCGTTAAAGTCATGACGCACGGTCCCTATTGTACGTTCAAGTAATTTGACATGCCGTTTGCATTTGTAATTGGTCAACCATTATTTTGACATATGACGTTTGCTTTTTTGATTGGTCAACCATTAGTTGTCGCCCAAGATCTAGTGGTTATGTAACTTAGCCTTGCATGTCGCATTGGTGGTGAACACTGTGTACTAAAATGACATGATAATTAACGCGTCAATTTTAAAAAATGTGTTAAAATTTGCAAATTGTAATCATGCTTTTTGTAATAATTATCAAAGATGCAGCCTTCATATTGTGGTAAAGTTAATAAAAAACGATAGAGAATTCATTGAAAATAGTTTGCTTATTATTCCTTGCAATAAAATTTTTAAAGTTTTTAATGATAATGTGAAATTATGATTAGTTATTATGGAATATCTTTATATTCAGTTCATTCTTATAGCATTGCTGGTGATAATTATATCGCAATTTTCTTGTAATTTTTCTTTATTAATATAAAAAGCATGATTTACTAACACGTTGTTAAATGACAGAAACGGCCGCCATTTTTAGTCCATTTTCCAGCCATAAAGTCTATTACTGTCTCATATGGATTCTTTACTACTTTACCATCTTTTTTAATAACTATGTAATTCACTAACCTTTACTTATTTGCTATTTTCGATACAAAGTTCCACGATTTCTTAGCAGTATTGACTGAGTTAATAATACAATATTGATAATATTGCTTTTTCATAAAATTCCTTAAAATTTAGATTTATCTGTTGTAAGGTAGAGATCTTTTAATTTTGCACTAGATTCCAAAACTTCAACATCTAAACATTTATTATTATTATTATTTTTGAAATTTGACTTACGTTTTGGAAAAAATTAATTATTATGAATTAAGAATTTATTAGAAAAGTAATCAATTTCAAAGTGAAACATTAAAAGCAAAAATATCCTTTTAAAAAATGTTCTTCTGAATGTTTATTTAATTCAAATAAACTTGATTCTAATAAAACTGATCTTTTTCAAATGAACTTACAAATATTAAAATAGAAAACAATAAGTGACAGAATTGTACAACTGTGTGTTATTAATACAGACTTGTTTTCTATATTATTCGTATTAATTCTTATTATTACGAAAAATGCTAGAAAACTCAAGGTTGATAGAAATTGACGATATTATCTTGTAAAAAACAACATAAAAGATAACTACGGTTGCCACCTTTTTTGAAAAGGACAGTAATTTTTTTGAAAAGGGCTGCCCTTTTTTGAAGCAAAATGTCCTTGTGACTTTTTAAAGCTTAAAATGTCCTTTTTTACGACTAATGTCTGTTTTTACGGTAAATGTCTCTTTGTCTTTTTTTGTCTTTTGTATTTTTTTCTTTTTTTTGTCTTTTTTTGTCTTTCTTTTTGCCTTTTTTGTTTTTGTCTTTTTTGTGTGTTTTTTTACAGCACATAACGTTTGTTCAAAAATATATGAGGTGCTTCTTTTTCAGAAATTCGGTAGAATGATGAGGAGGATTTTTTTGTAACACGCTCAGCGACCCTAATGACAACCAATTTTTGGAAATTCTCTATATTTTTTTTTTAACTAAAGCTTCCACAAAAAAAATTATATGTATCCTTGTATTATTGCTACCAGCAATTTATTGATACCAATTCTATTACAGAAACTATATATGAAGAATTCATACGAAAAACGCTAGAAGAACTTTGTAAGTTTTTTGAACATGATCCCAAAGACATATTTCTCAAAGAAGAAGATAAAATAAACGAACCTGAAGAAGAGGAGAAGGAAGAAATACATTTTAAGTTTCCAATAACCTGTTTAGAAGACTGCAATCAACCAACCGAAATGGATAAGTTGGAAAATTTGGTTGACACATCCGATGGATTTTTAATGGTGGCATTTAAAGATTTCTTTAAATGTGAAACGAAGAATACAACACCCACAACGTTAAGCCTTTATGAAAAGTTAGTAATTTACAACAAATTATAACTGAATATAAAATTTCACCTCCTGAAGAAAACTGTATTAAGTAATAATTTGTAATTGTTGTGCCTTCTTCAGGGGGTCTACTTTAAAACAATAATAAGTTTTGTGGATATAATCTATAGTCACAAAACAATTGTTGTGTTAAAGTATACCAAGAAAAGAGCTGTTTTTCTAAATATGGTACAAATTATTACTTAATACGTTTTTCGAAATGTAAAAAAAATTCAATTATTGATGATAGTAGGTTTATACAGTATGTCCCCCCTAAGTTGGAATCATATGGAAATCTTTTTTATTGTTGATTTTAGGAGGAAAAGTTATTCCTGATAAAAAGTCCTGCATAACCCAAAACTTAAAATACAGTCATCAGATATCAAATTTTTCAAGCCGTATACAAGGTTTGTCAAAAAATATGAATTTTGCTCAAGAATAAAGTACGTTTATTTTTGACAAAATCGAAAATTTTCATTAAGAAAAGTTGATTACATTTAAATATACAATTACACCGATCTATCTGAAAAATCAGATTTTTTCTAGATTTTGCATTGATCCACCTAATTACGGTAATCCATAATTTTTTCTCTCTCTTCTCTACTATAAATATGATACGCTTTCCTTTTGTTGATGTTTGCGAAGACTTTACCAATTTTCTTAATGAAAAATTTCGATTTTGTCAAAAATAAACGTACTTTACTCTTGAGCAAAATTCATATTTTTTGAAAAACCTCGTTGAAAAATTTGATATATGATGACTGTATTTTAAGTTTTGGGTCATGCGGGACTTTTTATCAAGAATAACTTTTTTTCCTAAAATTAATAATAAAAAAGTTTTTTATATGATTCCAACTTAGGGGGACATACTGTATATTGACTATATTTTGATTTTAGGTTATCCAGGATTACAAAAACGTTCTTCCCGACTACCAACTTTTTCGAAAAGATACTCAACAGTATATTAAAAGAAAGATTCACGGTCTCCGGTCTTAGAGTGAAAAATATTCTGATTGAGCAGTACCTGCTGGAAAAACAGTTTCAATTTCTTAGGCACATATTTTTGTTTTTTGATAATATAATTTTTTCGTTTTATAGACGATTTTTTATAAAGGTAAGTAACTTGTTTCGCAGCAAATCCTTTATCACAATCTTTTCCTTTTTTCTATTTTTTAAATATCTAGTTGAGAACTTTAAAGATAAAAATGAGTAGAGCGCTACATTTAACAGCAAATGTCTTGAAATAATTTGTAATATATAAAGAAATAAAATTGTAAAGCAGATTTTTATGCGAATGTTACCATAAAGACAAAAAATGTAATAACTTTAAACGATTTGAATTTCTGCTACCTATGTCTTGCATAAAATAAGATCATATCCACACCATCCTTGAGGTAGACCTCCCATCTCGTTTTTTGTTTTTTTAATTGGTTTCCTCTATGCCTATTCTACTAAAATCTGACTATTTTTTAATCATTAATTGGAATATGTTCTTTCTCTTCAGTAAATTCTTCAGTCTACATGATTGAATCGTTTATTTGGAAAAGGGCACATCTACTTAACCCAATTTCGCTTGAAATGCTATTTATTTAAGTCCCTCAAAAGAGTAAGAAAAAAAAATTCCCAATACGCTTTTTTTTTCTTCTGTGCTCGTCTGACTATGTGTCTCCGAATAACACTGAAGCCTATTGGCTTATTGTGTTTGCCCAATACGCTTACGAATTGCTGTCCCATTTTTGGGATTTTAGCTTTGCCAAGTCATTTTATAACGAATATTGTGTGTAATGCTGTGACAGGCTCCTGGTTCACCTACAGTGAATCAGCGAGTCTGTGGCGCTATGAATGTAATTCCCGAATAAGGGTTGCTCAGGCGCCAGTTTTGATATCGCAGTTTGCTCTGCGACCCTGTGGTACACCAGAGTGTACTCAAGGTGAACTCAGTGGAGGTAAAAATAATTCCAGGCGGTCACTGCTAGGTTGCCACTATAGTAGAATAAATAAAAATAAAACACTTATCTCCTTTATACCTTGTACCCTACGGTACCCTGAAAGAGAACGGTTAAGAACCAGCAATAAGCAGGAACAGGTAATAAAATATATATTTACAAAAAAAATAAACACACCTGTAATTATATATGTACGGCTTCCTCCATTCGGGAAATCTATTCGTGAAATGCCCAGTATACGGAAAATGTATGAAAATAAATTAATACACTTGAAAACAATTTAAATATGACGGCAATCAAATGCAAGCAAATAAATGAAATCAAAATTGTCGGAGTCCCCTTGTATCTTAATAACCAATCGATGGAAACGCAAAATTCTCGCCTATTGATAAATAAGGTTTATTTAAACGGTGTTTTGAATCGGCGATCACGACGATCGTAGAAAATAATATTTATGAATTTTGCCCATCGTCTATCGAGAGCGTGTGTGTGAATTTAATTTTACAGAAGTTGTCGGCTTTGTTCAATAATTAGTTGTGGACGGAGAACGGAATGATTCAAATACAATTGAATAAATAAATAAAAGAAAATAAATTTTACACGAAGTGAGGTGCGGAAATTAGTTTAAACGTTTTTTTTTCTTTTTGGGAAGTTAGATACGTCGTCAGAAGAGAGCACTCTAGGCCAAGGATAGATCGAACCTCCGAAACAAAAAAAAACAATAAATAATAAAAAAAAATGAAACAGGTCGAACCTCTCACTTCGATGTTAACTGGGCGGTTTTTAAAGAAAATTGGATATAGTCATTGACTGAGAGAGCACTCGGAGTCTAGTCTATATCCAGCCTCAAATAAAAAATTACCAACGGCTTCCCACTGAGGGATGAAATAATAAATCCTGGGTATGAATCAAAATTCTTGATTTGTAACACGGGTGTCCCAAACTAATTGTAAATAAAAAAATAAGCGGTTTCCTACCTTTAGAAAAATAAACGGGGTTGATCGATGAACTAAATCACGGTACACGGCACTAGGTACTAACTAAGGGTGAAATGTTTTCGGCTGTCGGCAATCACGAGAGAAACGCTTACGACGGCTGGCAATCGAGGAGAGAGCGTAATTCCCAGATCTCATTTAATTTATCCTTTTTCGGTAAAGCAAGATGGAAGACACGGTACGACAAAGTGGGAGGATACCACCACCACAGCTGACTGTTTACAATTCAGAAATACAAAAAATGTCCTTCTAGTCCTTGACAAATAAAAGGTAGATAATCCATACGAAATCGACTCTAAAAATGCCCATTTGGATTTCGGCAAATATAAGAATATTTTAACCTACGAGGGTACTGTTGAAAATCGGTAATTCCTGGGAAACAGAAATACGGGGGAACTTCTACATGTTCTCAGGCTGGAATTAATTGAAATATACATTTTTAAGATGAATTAAAAATAAAATTTAGTGACTTCGTCACAATGCCAAATCATCTTGTTTCCAATTTAACAATAAAGCTGATAAACATTAAAAAATAAAAACCAGAAACTCATAAATAATACAAATGAGTAAGCTGAACTTACAACCATTGTCTCTTTTTAATTGACTTCAAAAAATAAGGAGGTTCTCAATTCGTCGTAATATTTTTTTTCATGTATGTTTAGCGATAATGCTCTACCACCTTGTCCGATTTATATGATTCTTTTTTTGTTAATAGGGGATACCTCAGGGGTGGTCCCATATAAATTTGGTTAAGATGTGGTGATGGCATGTGCACGTTTTTGAAATCGGTTTTTTTTTTAATTTTTAATTTATAATACTTGTAGCTTTATGCACATAGCAGAAATTGGGGTAACGACATCTGGCTCACCTCACATCTTCAGGATATAATAATGGATTTGTACCCAGAGTTTTACGAAAAATGTTCAGTTCAAGTCAGCGAGAACTGGAAAGACTGTCGCGATCCACTAGAGGCTTGCAGCATGCTATCGGTCAATATGAATATTCAGTGGCCATTGAATATTATAATCAGCGAACCACAAATGTTGAAATATAAAGAAGTTTTTCATTTTATTTTGAGGATTAAATGGGGACTGTACACACTGAACCATTTGTCATTTACAGGTAAGTTTACTTGAAATCGTGCAAAATAATCTAAATTTATTAGTGATGGGTGTCGTTTGGAAAAGTCGATGGACTAGTCTGAAAAGTTGACTATTTTAAAAACACTTTTCAAACGTGGAAAGGTGTATTGCGCATGCGTGAAATTGAATTAACTAATTTGTCTGAATATAGTTTAAAAAATTAAAAACGACAAATGATTATTGAATTTACATGTTTTAACGATGTTTTCGAAGTTTCATTTCATATCTTATTAATAAACACGTGTAAAAATTGCCAAAAAATCCAAAGGTTTGAATTATTTTATAAATGATTTTCCTAAAAAAACGAAAATACAAAAGCACATATTGTTCCCAAAATAATTTTGAAAATTTTATTGTGTCTTTTATGCCCAAGGTCGACTACAGTTCATTATGACTTTCCATTACTTGTTACTACTTTTCCGAACATGTCCGTCGGACCAGTCCAAAAATTTTTTTTTATGAAAAGTCCCATCATTAAAATTTATACAATCCTTTGGAAATATAGAACGAATATCAATTCGGGAGAAAGTTCAAGTTTCTACAATATTACAATTGGATTAAACTTTAAAATAATAATTCTTCTTGTCTTCTCTGCGGTACTCTCCGACTTCTCTGCTTCTCCTTCTCTAATCTCTCTGCTACCATCTGTTGTTGCTGTTTCTCGACTACTACACCTCGCACTATACTCTGGCTGTTCTTCCTCTATCTCTACGACTGCTTTCTTTTTTATGAAATAAATTTTTATTTTAACTTTTTTTTTTAATTTTTTACTATTTAACTTTACAATTTCTGACTTTTTCTTTTCCTGCTGATAATCAATAATTTTCCCAAAAACCAATTTTTTTTCTTACTACCATATAAGTTTTATATACCATCGCAATATTGTTATTAAAGTATAATTTTGTCAATCAAATCACGTAATCTTTTATATTTCATAAAAAAAAACATTTTAAAGAATAAAAATTGAAATTAAACTATAAGATAAATTCTTATTCATAAATAAAAACAAACATTTTAAAATATTTTTTCTATAGGCGGCGGCATTTTTCGTACAACTGGTGTCAAATTTTTAAACGGACTAGGCTTTAACATACATAATTACTCTTTATCTAAGTAAACAATTCATGCAATTTGTTATTAAAAAATCTGATGTGTCCAACACATGACTTTCCTATCTAGTTATTATAGGCCTTTTCCGGTTATTTTGTACAACCTATTGCAGCATCTCTATAAATGTTTAGAGGATAAACTAAATATATACATTGGCCACATACATCTACCTCGAAACATTTTTCTATAGATATTCATTGAAAACGAAAATACTGAAAAATTTAAATTTAGCACTTTTCCATTACGATCCATTTTAGAAAAATCATCTATAAACAAAAATTATAGAGATCGATATCGCAAACAACTTTTAGTTCAACAATTTTCATAAAAATCAGAATTTTGCACATTTTGTCAAATTTCTCGAATACGGACCATTTCAGAAAATTTTGACATAAAGCAAAAATTATAGATAATAATATTAGAAGTAACTTTTATTTGAAAAATTTTCTTCTCCAAACATAAATAAGATATATTCCATAAAATATAAAAACGGCCTCCCATAAAGTACCCCCCCAGATGTTCCGACTTTGTCCAAAATCTAATCATTTCACGTCAGGCCGAAATAAATCTTAAATTTAAAATTTAATGTTTTTTATCTTTATCCGTTTTTGAGTTTTCTTCAAAATTCGAAATTTACACATTTTCTCAAATATCTCGAATACGGTCCATTTTAGAGAAATTATGTATAGAACAAAAATTATAGAGAATTATATTACAAACAACTTTTATGTGAACAATTTTTATAAAAAAATATTTTTTTACATTTTGTCAAATTTCTCGAATACCGACCATTTTAGGAAAATTTTGTATAGAACAAAAATTATAGATAATTATATTAGAAGTAACTTTTATTTGAAGAATGTTCTTCTCCAAACGTAAATAACAGATATATTCCATAAAATATAAAAATGACCACCCATAAAGTACCCCCCAGATGTTCCGACTCTGCCCAAAATCTAATCAGTTCATTAGACGCTGAAATAAAGCTTAAGGTTAAAATTTGGTGTTTTTCTGTGTATCGGTTCATGAGTTATGCGACATACAGACACACACACACATCATCGCGAAAATAGTCAAAACGGATTCAAGGGACCTCAAAACGTAAAAATCCGTCGAAAACTCGAGGTCGAAAAAAATCATGATCCCTATACTTTCCTTATATCTGTATACAGATAGGAAAGTAAAAATTAAAAAATTCCACGTGTTCCGAGGTTGAATCGAATCAACTATATCTAGAAGAGTTCAGGACCAGTACAGTAATACCCCTGACTTACGCGATAGGTGGGACCAAGCGTTGGCCGTGTAAGTCGAATTCGCGTAAGTCGGGGTTCAACTTTGCATATAAATACGTATAAAGTTTGTGTAATCGGGACCAGAGTCTAAAGAAAACAATAATTTAGAAGAAACATGTTTAATAAAATGTGAGATAATAAAAACAATTTACATAACTATAAATAAAAAAATCTGATGTGTCCAACACATGACTTTCCTATCTAGTTATATAAATATTTAGAGGATAAACTAAATATATACATTGTCCACATACATCTACCTCGAAACATTTTTCTATATTCATGGAAAACGAAAATACTGAAAAATTTTAATTTCCTACAATTTTTTCATTACGGTCCATTTTAGAAAAATCATGTATAAACAAAAATTATAGAGATCGATATCGCAAACAACTTTTATTTCAAAAACTTTCATAATAAAAATCAGAATTTTGCACGTTTTGTCAAATTTCTCGAATACGGACCATTTCAGGAAATTTTTACATAAAACAAAAATTACAGATAATAATATTAGAAGTAACTTTTATTTGAACAATTTTCCTCTCCAAACATAAATAACAGATATATTCCATAAAATATAAAAACGGCCTCCCATAAAGTACCCCCCAGATGTTCCGACTTTGTCCAAAATCTAATCATTTCACGTCAGGCCGAAATAAACCTTAAGTTTAAAATTTAATGTTTTTTTCTTTATCCGTTTTTGAGTTTTTTTCAAAATTCGAAATTTACACATTTTCTCAAATATCTCGAATACGGTCCATTTTAGAGAAATTATGTAGAGAATAAAAATTATAGAGAATTATATTACAAACAACTTTTATTTGAAAAATTTTTATAAAAAAATATTTTTTTTACATTTTGTCAAATTTCTCGAATACGGACCATTTTAGGAAAATTTTATATAAAACAAAAATTATAGATAATAATATTAGAAGTAACTTTTATTTAAAGAATTTTCTTCTCCAAACGTAAATAACAGATATATTCCATAAAATATAAAAATGACCACCTATAAAGTACCCCCCCAAATGTTCCGACTCTGCCCAAAATCTAATCAGCTCATTAGACGCTGAAACAAAGCTTAAGTTTAAAATTTGGTGTTTTTCTGTGTATCGGTTCATGAGTTATGCGTTATACAGACACACACACACACACACACACACACACACACACACACACACACACACAGACACACACACACAGACACACACACAGACATCATCGCGAAAATAGTCAAAACGGATTCAGGGGACCTCAAAACGTAAAAATCCGTCGAAAACTCGAGGTCGAAAAAAATCATGATTCCTATACTTTCCTTATATCTGTATACAGATAGGAAAGTAAAAAATATTTTGCAACATATTTAACTTATTGAACATAATAACACAAACTGTCTGATCCATTCTTGTGTTAGGAAGTTTTTATTTCATTTTTGTATGTTATTATTTAGAAAGTTTCCATAATTTTATAACTCATAATACCTTCATAGTTTAATAAATAAATACGTTTATTTTTCATTATTATGACTGGTCGTAAGAGAAATAGTGATTGCAACGCACATTTAATAACTATTAAATCGTATTCATTACGATACTCGTGTCTTAATAGCTATCATTAACTGCTCTTTGCATTTATCAATTTCCTGAAAAATCGCCATTATCGAAACGTCTCCCATCAAGTTATATTTCTCTGCTTATGTAAATAAAGATAGATAAATAACTGGTAAATAATGAAAAAATTGCACCATTTGCAACCTCGTTTTTATACAAACTTACATTTCTGAGTCTTTATTACTTTCGCGAAATTTTCATCAGCATTACATTATTTCGACGTTACGTTACTGTCAGATTATTATTCATCTATGTCATAATTTTTTACCTTTTATTATACATTTATTCATTTTATACATATCTAAAATTATTTAAAGTTACAGGAGTAATGAAACACTTCTCACCCTGGTATATATTGTTTGACAAAGACTAACAAGCTGTTTAATGTGTCAAAATAAATTTTAAATTTATAAATTTCTAAATGAATCAATTGTGTATTTTTCAGCATCAGTGGTAAAAATAAATAATACCTTTTATAATCCACAGACTCAATGAATAATAGTTCACTATATTTCGCTTCGTTTAATATGAATATCAATTTTCCAAAAATTACCAATACTCTCAAAATGGATTGTTCTAAAAATTTACAAATACTCGTACTATACACCGAATTTTATAAAAAAAAATTTGCAATATTAAAATTATTTTTCTTTTTTCATCTAACAAATTCAAAAAATCAACAACATCCATCTTTTTTTCGAGTTCTGAGTCAGAAAAATCGATTTTTCTGAGTTCTAAGTCAGAACAGTCTATTTTTCCGAGTTGAAAGTCAAAAAAATCGATTTTTTTCCAAATTTTAATTCGATATAATTTATTTTTTCCAGTGTTTATTCGAAACAATTGATTTTTCCGAGTTTTAATTCGAAACAATTGGTTTTCCCCAGTTTTAAATCGGAATAATCTATTTTTTCGAGTTGATAGTCAGAAAAATCAATTTTTCCGAGTTCTAGTTCGGAATAATCTATTTT